CTAGAGTCTCTATCTGTAGAGAGGAAAATGAGACAGGGACCATAGGCTTAGAATAAAGTGAGAGCCTCTGGAGAAAGCAAGGCAGGATATTTGCAGTCAGAGCAATGTAAAACTACATGCTAGGAACCCCCCCCTACTAAAACTCTATGTTAAACATTAAGCTCTAGAATCATTCTTCAGTGAGATCAGTTAATGTTCCCCAGATAAAGAAGAGTAGCACATGTTTTATTATGCTAATCATTTGTAATCGTGTATAAGATTCACTTTAGCATACTAAAAGGCCCAGGCCTATGTGCTGTCTTTCCTCCTTCAGATCTGAGGAGGTAATTTTGCAAACAAAGCAACTAACTTAGCATGCAGACCCAGCTGTAGACGGCATGGTAAAAGGCAGGAAGAATTCCATCTTAAAGATAAGATTGCATTTTAACACCCAGGAAGTTCTAGAAGCTCTTTAGCAAATAGACAATATCTTAGCCCACCTTAGGGGCTGGGCAGGCAGCCTTTTGAGATGCTCCCAGACCAAGGCGCCAGTGTCCCAGAGAGAAATCAAGGCAAGAAATTCCTTATGTTAAGTTAATTTTTAATATTCAGAGAACACTTAACAAGTCCTTCCCCAAGGCTTTAGAGATAGTCCCCACCTTTTTGGACAGGCTCTAACACAAGACCTCAAATCCCTTACTCTTTCCAGCTCCACCCTCCAATATGTAGATGATCTCCCTTGCAGTCCCTCCCTACAAACCTCTCAACAGGATATTATTCTCCTTTTAAACTTTCTCTCAGAACACAGCTATTGAGTTTCACCCTCCAAAGTTCAGCTGTCTGCCGCTCAAGTCACATACCTGGGAGTTCAGCTCTCCCTGCGCTAGGAAGCCATTACAATAGACAGGAAAAAACTTCTCCAAAACCATGCCCATTCCAAACACCAAGCAACACCATCCCTAACTCCCAAATGGCAAAGACCGTACGCAGTAATCCTTTCCACGCCAACTGCAGTTAAACTCCAGGGTCTTCCCCTCTAAATACACAACTCCCACCATAAGCCGTTTGTCTCTCCTTATTCCCCTCCCACCAAATCTCCCACAGGTTCCTACTCCACCCTGACGGGACCTCTTACTCTCCGCATTTCGCGCTTCTCATCTCTGCTTCCACTCATCACTGAAGAAGTTTCTGCCAGCACAGAGTCCTAAGACCTCCCTTACAACCGCCATGCATCATGCCTCAGGATTATTAACCCTGTTCTCAACACTTATTCTCTCACCAGACCTATCTTCCCAATGCCAGCCCTTTCTTCTCTTTCAGACTGTTCAAAAGATTGCACCATCAAAGATTCCCTTTGCCCTACAGGTTGCTTTGCTGCCTACACATATGTCCCCAAAAATGCTATTAATTCAGCCACCCTATGTAAACATAGCAATCAGCCCAAATGCAAAAAATTTCTGACCAAACATTTAACCAGTTTATATTACAGGATTACCAACCCCTCTCCAAAGACGATGATGCTTATTGAACCTAGAAAATGCCATCGCCACTGCAGACCAAGGGCTCATCTGAGGACCGCCCCCTATCAATACAAAAATGAACTTCATCGCCCCTAATGAGTAGGAAGCAGTTACTGAAGACTAACTTTCACCCCTTCCCAAATCCTCTACCACTTATAAAACAGAAAAGGGAGGAATGTAAGATTATAGTAATTTATCCTCCATTTGCCCCATGGTCCCAAGCACATAAGCCGGTGAGAATTACACCTGGGACTTGCCTGGGTCTAGCCGGCTTTTATCTCTAAACATCCCAACCCTCCCCCAAGGCAACAGGCTGAGCTGATCCGCCACAATAAGTCACCAGGCTGCTGCCCCGCCACCCCCTCTCTCTGTCTCTCTGCTGCCCTCTCTCTGGCTCTGTCTCTGCTGCTCTCTCCCTCTGTCTGTCTCTTTGTCTGTCCTCCTGTTCTCCCTGGGGGCAGCCACTCTCTCCTTCAGATAATAAAGTCTCTTGCGTGGGCCTGTGTCTCCTGAGTCATTCTGGGTAAGGAGGGTCGCGGCGAGATACCCTTTCAAGTACTAGAGGAATTTTTTCTGTAGTTGCGCTGTTTGCTGTAAGTTGCCGATTCATTCTGCCAACAACTCGCCCACAGGCTGGCAAACAAACATAAACACTGTCACCGCGTGGTGCGCCCTTGATTTTGTGTTAGGGCCTCTAGTACTCGGTCAAATTGTGATTTAATCTTTTTGGTCGCACAGACAAGTTTCTAACAGTTTTTAAGTTACAAATAACCCCGTGATGAATATTCTTCCTTCTCCTGTTGTTTTTTTCTTCTGCGTTGTTTGTGGGGGGTTTTATTCTTCAGGGTACATTTATAGACTGTGGTGCTGTTTACACGTACTCCTTACAAGCCCCGGTGGATTGCAGAGGACCGCGGCCTGGGGCAGCACACCTCGCCGCAGGCACACAGACCCTAACAGTTTCCCTGGGGGGAAACGAGGCTCCAGAGGCCGCCTCCACAGCCGGTGTCCTGGTCTCGAGAACGCGCATGTCCTTCTTGCTGATTTCGGTGCCCGGCCTAAGCAATCGGTTCAGACAGCCAGGAAAAGTCCTGAGGCCAGAGTCCGCATTCAAGGATCGGACCTCTCTACCCGGGAACTGCACTGCCCCGACACGCCCACAACGCCTCAAGGGGCTGCGCCAAAGGGACCGGGGGCTGGCGGCAGCTGGTGTCTCCTGGCAGCGTCCGAGGGTCACGGTGTTTTCCCGCTCGCCCCGACCCGCAGGACCCCGAGGAGCTCCCCCGTTTCCCCTTCAGACCCCGGAGCGCGCGCGGGGCGGCCAGTAGGCTGCATCTAGGCCGATATTAGGCTCGGTCTGACGGAGCTCCGCTAGTTTGGCCCCTCCCAGAGGGCCGTCACGGTTCCCCAAGCCGGCCCAGTCCGGGCGGCGCCGGGCCCTGCTCCCCGCCGTCGGGTCAGCTCATAGGCCCGCAGCGCCGCGCACGCCCCTGCAAGGCCTGCGTCCAGGGGGCGGAGCCAGCGGGTTCGCGCCAAAATCGCGTAGCTTATCCCTCCCCCGCGGGCTACGTCGCGCCCTCCTTTTTTTTCAAACCCAGGGCTGGGCCGGGATTGGTGGCCTGGGCAATCACGTGGGTTAACGGTCGCGGGAAGCCGCGGAGCCCGAACCTCCGGCTGGAGCTACGAACATCCCAGTCTCGGCTCCCGGGCGGCTCCGCCTCTGCCGGGCAGTCCTCACAGCCACCGCCGCTGCCGCCGACCGCAGTCCCGGCGCCCCGGAACCACAGCCCGCAGTTGCGCAGGTCCGCCGCCGCGGCCCGCAGGCGCGCCCAGTCGCACGTGGCGGACCCGCCCCCTGGGCCGGCGCGGCCCTGGACTCCGTGGGCTCTCCGGTCCTCGGCCAGGGCCCCAGGGGCGCAATGAGCTTCCTGAGCCGGCAGCAGCCGCCGCCGCCCCGCCGCGCCGGGGGCTCCTGTGCTCTGCGGCAGAAGCTGATTTTCTCGCCCTGCAGCGACTGTGAGGAGGAGGAGGAGGAAGAGGAGGAGGAGGGCAGCGGCCACAGCACCGGGGAGGACTCGGCCTTTCAGGAGCCCGACTCGCCGCTGCCGCCGGCACGGAGCCCCACAGAGTCCGGGCCCGAGCGCCGTCGCTCACCCGGCCCGGTCCCCGGCAGCCCCGGGGAGCTGGAGGAGGACATGCTACTGCGGGGCGCCTGTCCGGGCGCAGACGCGGCGGGCGGCGAGGCCGAGGGCGACTCTTGGGAGGAGGAGGGCTTCGGCTCCTCGTCGCCGGTGAAGTCGCCGGCGGCCGCCTACTTTCTGGGCAGCTCGTTCTCGCCGGTGCGCTGCGGCGGCCCGGGGGACGCGTCCCCGCGCAGCTGCGGGGCGCGCAGCGCTGGCGAGGGCCCCTACGCGCCGCTGCCCGACCACCCCAGCACCCCGCCTCACAAGACCTTCCGCAAGCTGCGGCTCTTCGACACGCCGCACACACCCAAGGTGAGAGGACGCGGCGGCCGGGGCGCCCCGAGCCTGCCCCGGATCAGCCTTTTAAAAATGCCGCGGCGCAGGGAACCGCGCGCGGCGCCGCCCGGGTTCGGTTACATAACCGCCCGGCTGCACCCCCACTCGCTTGCCTGCGCCGCAACAAAAAGTTGGCAGCCCCTCTTTTTTGGCCCTGCCCAGAAGTTGTCCGTTAAGATTATGTAACTGAACAATGGGCTTCGTCTGGAACTTCTTCATCTTTCAAAGGGGCTGATCGGCGCAGTCCAGGTGGCTGTTGATTTAACGTCCGCCGTGTCAGCCCGGAGTGTGGCGCCGATAACGTGGTTGGGAAGGATGTTGGAGCTGTGCTGGCCCCACCACCTGACACTCCCGAGCGCCGCAGCCATATGGTGTCTTCTAAACGCAGCGATCAGCCCTGTAATTTGGGCGGCGCACACAGGATGGAGTTAGGTTAAAAAATTTCTTGAGCTTATCGTTTCGTGTCATGTGGCCTCATGGGGAAAAGTTTGAGGTGTGGCGCTTCGGCTTAGGAGAGAGGGCTGGCCTCCCAAGCATTTACAGACTCATTAATAACTCAGGGTAACATTTAGCCTCATCGCGGATATAATGTGTATTGTAAGGGTTTGTTTTAATCCCGTGGGTTTGCCGCGCCCGAGGACCGGAGAGCTAGAGCCCGCGGCGTCCAGGGACACATTGTAATGATGAGAACATCCAGCTGTTAAAAATAGGCGTTGGTGTTGGTGCTTGGGACCCTTACGCTTTCATACTGTTGATCATTATCATAAGGTAGTCAGCACCTGTTTGTTGAGCGGCAAGCGAGTATGCAGATTACCACTTCTGAAATTTAAGTAACCTCAAGCAGATTTTAAAAGGGGCATGAGATTAAGACAAGTATTGCAGTTAAAAAATGAAGATGATAAATGTACCCTTTAAAGTGTGTCCGTTTCTGTACCATCAGTCATAAACCTCCGGAAGACGTGTGCTTTTGAACGTTGTTTACTAGCGGACTTGCCCAAGGCAAGAGCCCTCTGGAAGTGAGGGGAGGAGTCCTGGGGAGGTGGCATTCAAAGCCCTCATTGGATTGGGGAAGGGCGTTTTATGGGGCTTCCTGACTGCTTTCTATTTTTTGATGAATTGAAATCATTTAACTTTTGTCCTCTAGAGTGTACTTAATTTTAATTTGCATTCATACCCCTTAGGCTTACAGGCCAATTCTACCTGGCTGTCTTTTCCAGAAAAGGTGGTTAGTATCCAGCTTCAGACTCCTACGTTCACCATTGTTTATTTTACTTGAAATAAAGGCGTGTGTGTGTTGCTTCGACCAACACATTAAATCACGTGAAAAGCCTTGTTGAAGATGAGGTTGAGAGAGCTAGCTGTCTGTAGGACTTGGATTCTAAAAATTGTCTTTTTCCTCACGTAGAGTTTGCTCTCCAAAGCTCGAGGAATCGATTCCAGCTCTGTCAAACTCCAAGGTGGTTCTCTATTCATGGATACAGAAAAATCAGGAAAAAGAGAATTGGACATGCGACAAACTCCTCAAGTGAATATTAATCCTTTTACTCCAGATTCTTTGTTACTTCATTCCTCAGGACAGTGTCGTAGAAGAAAAAGAACATATTGGAATGAGTAAGTTATTTTTTATTCAACAGTTTGGTTCCGCAGACACCTAAGATTGCTTTGGTATATTTATCAAAATTTAATTTCAACAATATGACATGGAAATTTGCTCTGAAATTTTTCTCTCTTCCTAGTACCTGATTCTCGGAAGAGTTAAATGAGAAGTAATCAATTGTGGAAAGGAGTGGTGTGAAAAAGGAAGGATTAAAAAGCCTGGATAGTTTGTAAGAAATCTTTTGGTGTCAAAAATGAAGCAGACCAAGAGTTGATTTAGAAAGGCTCTAATTTTGATGTATGTGGTGGTGGTGACCTCTGGTTATTGAGATATCAGCAGAGACAGTGTTTTTCATCACCTGAGTTGTATCTTGTGATTACAAAATTAATGCTTCTTTTCTGTTTTTATTCATTAAAATTCCATCTCATTCAATTCTCAGATGAAAGTTTGATACATCTGTCAGATATATTGACGGAAAAATTTATAATATTTTTCAGTTCCTGTGGTGAAGACATGGAAGCCAGTGATTATGAGTTAGAAGATGAAACAAGACCTGCTAAAGTAAATAGCTTTTTATTGTTCTGAAATTTGACTTTCTACCTAATAATGTTATCATATATAATGGTAAATAAGCATTAAAACAAAGTATACTGATTTTTAAATTTCACATGTAGTGCTATCACTGTAGGAAAAAATCATTTTCATGTCTTATGTATATGGTACACTTTGTTACAGAGAATTACAATTACTGAAAGCAATATGAAGTCACGGTATACAACAGAATTTCATGAGTTAGAGAAAATCGGCTCTGGAGAATTTGGTTCTGTGTTTAAGTGTGTGAAGAGGCTGGATGGATGCATTTATGCTATTAAGCGATCAAAAAAGCCATTGGCTGGCTCTGTTGATGAGTATGTATTAAAAATTTTATCTTTTGCTCTTTTGTTCCCTATGGTGTTACAAACATTAAAATTTGATCAATTAAAACATAGTTTTAGTTGATATAGTGTTGAAATTCTCCAATTTATGAGAAGGTATAATGATTTAATCAAATCCTTTTCATTTTGTGCCATTAATTCTTATTGGACTTGGTTAAATAATATGACTAGTTTGATTTTGGAGCCTTAGATTTCTTATTTCTAGTGGCATCCATGAATTCACAGTAAAATAGAGTTTCATCCTTCCTGAGTCCTAGGGCTAGCAACGTTCCTTCTTTCTTTGATGGAAACCTTTGGAAAAATCTAGCATAGAGCCTTAACTCCCCCTCTCTTAAGCAAGTTGTTCTTCACCATATTGATAGATACATAAGTCAAGTTTCTTTCATGAAGTTTCAGATAAATTAATTCAGTTTAGGTTGAATAAAAATGATTTACCATTCTATTAATCTTAAATCTATCCTAGGCAGAATGCTCTGAGAGAAGTATATGCTCATGCAGTGCTTGGACAACATTCTCATGTAGTTCGATATTTCTCTGCATGGGCAGAAGATGATCATATGCTTATACAGAATGAATATTGTAATGGTGAGTAATGTAATGTTTCCCATGTAAATTTGTGAGCTTAGAAAAATAAACACCAAGGGAATATGTACTTTAAAGTTCTTGCTCTGTGTCTTGTCTTTTGTAAATTGAAAGATCAGAAGACTAACATGCATTTCAAGTGCAAGTTATGCCTACCTACTTGGATGTTAAGATTGAAACCTTGTCGCTTCCACCTTGGTAGTAGAACTGTGCATATTATTTATTTACCTGTCACTCATATTAAACTGATTTTCCTAAGAGGTCAGAGGCCTTACCATGTATATTTTGGTATCCGTAGATCCTAGCGAAGTGTATGGGGATATAGTAGTAAATAAGTGTAGGTTCCCTGTATCTCACCTTCCCTTTCCATTTCGTGTTATGTGCTGCTAAACTGATGTTGATTACTTATAAAAGGACAGTGACTCACCATTGATGTAAATTCAGCCATTTGTTCAAGGCGTGCTATAATCTTGCCCTAATTCCCATCTGTCCAACCACTAGAATCCACTAAGACTTTTCTATGTAGTAAGTTAACGCTCTTTTAGTTCTCTAGCTGTGCCTCCTTCTCTCCTTCCCCCACAAAACAAACAAAACAAGCATATACAGAGGTTCAACTTTGAACCTCTGTGTAGCTTCCAATTTCATCAAGTCCTTCAAAGACCAACTTGGGCCCCTCCTTTTCCATTAAACCTTTACCAAAATCCTGGTCTCAATTCTAATTCTTAAAGAAATCTGTTATTAAATACCCAAGTCTTTTTTATATAATGGATTTCTATTTCTGTGTATCTTCTGTCACAGTTTGTGAATTTAGAATTTAGTGAACACTTGAGAGGTGATAGCAAAAATTTATTTTTATGTTGTTATTTTTGTTGATTCTTATTATTTCTTCCTTAGGCAAGACCAGCCATCTCATAGCTTGTGAATAAAGAAGTGGTGTAATTAGTGAATTCATGTTTTCTATATTTAAAAAAATGAAGAAAACAGAAGTAAAAGATCCATTTCTCATACCTGGTTTCTCATTTAGTTGTCATTTTTATCAGTTCTGTGCACTTGCTGAAAGAACGTAAATGCTCAGTATTCAGAATTGCTTCTAGTTTGTTTCACATGTCTTTTGAAATGTTTCTATTTATACCATCAAAATATTTATGTAGCTGTATCCCACGACCTTGGGACTGTTCTGTTTCTTAACGTTCATTTTCCCATTACTTCAGTTAAAATAGTACAACTTGACCATAATGTCTTCTCCACTGCATATTTGCTAGATGCCATCTCCTTTAACTTCTTTCTTCCTCACCTGGTGATGGCAGCCGGTTCTCTCAAGTATTTCAGCAGCAGTCCAAGGATTTGTAACAACCTATCAAATACATGGTTGTGTAATTCAGATGATTTCAAGAAAATTCTTGGGGTGGGGAGGAGTGGGTGATCTTGCTACCCTCTCAGATTACAAAGACCTTGTCCTGTAGTAAGTTAGATTATAAAATAATCTTTTGAGACAGTTTATTATTTTGGAGCAGTATAAACACTTAGATCTGTGTGAAACAGGACTGTGTCTTCTGCCTTGGTTGTTTACTCTGCTGAGATAAAAGAAAATAAAGTTATTTAGATATATTTGTGAGCTCTTGTTCCCCTTTTCCACCATTCCTCCAAGTGAAGCTTTGCATGTTCTAATAATGGACCTGATCTTCAGATCTTTTCCACAGTTTCAAGAGGAAAGGATTCTGTTATCATTCATTTGTACATGCTTTGATAAACTGACAACCTTTATTGTGATTGAGTTTATTTATTATCTCAGTCATTTGCATTTTAAGCCTTTTGTCTTGGTTTGGTGATAAACTATACCCTCCATGAACAAGTGTAGAGAAATGTCGATGGATAGGGGAAGAGAACCTGAGATACCAGATGAATGTTTGTCTCTTAACCTTTTCAGCAATGAGATAAAGGGAGCTAGCCCAGCTATAACTTAGACCCATAAAAAGCAGTGGTATTTTTCCTTATTAAACTGGTTGTAGGACTCCAGGCCCACTTGTCTGACAGGCTTATTGACCTGTGTCCTTCTAGAGCCATCTTTCCTGAAGTTCAAGACTGTACAAATTAAGAATGGAGAACGTACTTAAGCCTGAGATACCCAAATGTGTGTGATTTATTTTTTAATACTTTTGTCGTTTTGTTACTCACTGTTGTTCAATTTGTAGAACCTTCTTTCCTAATATATCATTGACCTTCCTGATTATATTATCTTGGTTCTGATTTTATTATTATTAACTAGACTTTAAACAGAAGTAGTTCATTTTAAGGTGTTTTACTATTTTTTTCCACATAACTTCTCTTTTCCTCTGAGATAAAGTATAAACTTACAAGGTTTTAAATAAAACTTAAAAAGTTATAAAAGTATAAGCTAATTGGCTTGACTGATTCTGTAAAAGCAGGTTTTGTTCTTATTCATAATACAAATTAAAACTACTAAGATACTGGTTTTTTAGTTATAAAATTATAGACTGTTGTCAAGGGTGTGGGAAAACAGGTATTCTTAGACATTAATGATGGGAGTATAAATTAGTATAGCCTTCTCAGTGGGGGACAGTGATTGCCCCAAATTTGTTTTCCAAAGCCCCAGGTTCACATAAGGCACATTCTAGCAGAGTTTAAGTACTAGCCATTTTGAAATCAAACTGAGAACACTGTTACGTGAACTTTTTCAGAGGCACTGGAGTCTTGGCACCAACCCTAATAAGCTCTTTTACAGAAGGATAAGCAGGGAAATGGGCCTCTGAGTAACATGAGTATAGTACTACGCACACACAATGCACACACTGTGCATGTATTTATTTCATCATACATTCCCTTTGACCCAGCAATTTGTTTCTAGAGATATACTAATGTGTATATGAGATGACCAATGTACAAAGTTACTCCTTAGGCCATAGTGTATTGTAGCAAAGGCTTAGAAATGTATGTGAAATATCCATCAATTAGAGGATTAGTTAATGTATTACCATTCAGTTATACAGTGGAATTCTGTGGAGACACGAGAAGGAGGTAGTCTTTGTATGTTGGTAAAGAAGGCTCTTTAAGGTAATGAAAATATTGCTATTTGCATAAAAAGGAGTTGAAAGGAATATTTAAGAAACTGATTAACATTGGTTTATTTCAGGATGAAGGTGGGTTGCTGGGGCATATGATGAGAGATTTTACATTATATTTTGTACTCTGTTATCTTGCCTATTGAAAGAAATAAAATTTTTATTTCAGAAGCATGTTGAAGAGAATAGGTCCTATAAACTAGCACTGTCTTGGTTGAGTCAGGCCATTCAGTAAAGATGAAGAAGAAAATGCTAATTTTTCCCATTTGTTAGGTGGAAGCTTAGCTGATGCCATAAGTGAAAACTATAGAATCATGAGTTACTTCACCGAAGCAGAGCTGAAGGATCTCCTTTTGCAAGTTGGCCGGGGCTTACGGTATATTCATTCAATGTCTTTGGTTCACATGGATATAAAGCCTAGTAAGTATTATGGATCCTCTGACCTGTGTTCTTCAGGGTTATAGAGAATAAATGATTATATTAAAACAGTAAGAACATACACATCTTAATGCTTTTTCATTTTTAGTTTTAAAAGACTTTTGACAAGTCTGTTCTGCCAAGCTGTAGAACCATAATTATAAATTAATGCTGGTGCAGCTAACCAGGGTTATTAGAGTAAAATGAGGAGTGTGAAAATTTTTTGAAAACTTAAGTGCTATATAAACGTGGTATTTCTAGCATGTAAATACCATGAAAAAACTATATTAAGAAAACAAAATGGCACATACATTATGATTATCTTGCATTAAGAACAAGATGAAAGTGAATCCTACAATAACATTAGTGTGAATTCCTATCATTTTATCAAAATAACATAATGTGTACATTGTCGTTAAATAACCTTTTTAAAGTCAACTTTCTTTACCTTCCATTTCAGTAAATTTTCATCTCATCTAATAACCAGATTATATTAAAATTTTTTTCTAGTTGATCCAAGTCCTTAACAGGTGATTTGTCCAAACTAGTATTCATTTCAGGATCATGCATTACATCTAGTTAGATACATATTTTAAGGTGTTTTACTATTTTTTTCCACATAACTTCTCTTTTCCTCTGAGATAAAGTATAAACTTACAAGGTTTTAAATAAAACTTAAAAAGTTATAAAAGTATAAGCTAATTGGCTTGACTGATTCTGTAAAAGCAGGTTTTGTTCTTATTCATAATACAAATTAAAACTACTAAGATACTGGTTTTTTAGTTATAAAATTATAGACTGTTGTCAAGGGTGTGGGAAAACAGGTATTCTTAGACATTAATGATGGGAGTATAAATTAGTATAGCCTTCTCAGTGGGGGACAGTGATTGCCCCAAATTTGTTTTCCAAAGCCCCAGGTTCACATAAGGCACATTCTAGCAGAGTTTAAGTACTAGCCATTTTGAAATCAAACTGAGAACACTGTTACGTGAACTTTTTCAGAGGCACTGGAGTCTTGGCACCAACCCTAATAAGCTCTTTTACAGAAGGATAAGCAGGGAAATGGGCCTCTGAGTAACATGAGTATAGTACTACGCACACACAATGCACACACTGTGCATGTATTTATTTCATCATACATTCCCTTTGACCCAGCAATTTGTTTCTAGAGATATACTAATGTGTATATGAGATGACCAATGTACAAAGTTACTCCTTAGGCCATAGTGTATTGTAGCAAAGGCTTAGAAATGTATGTGAAATATCCATCAATTAGAGGATTAGTTAATGTATTACCATTCAGTTATACAGTGGAATTCTGTGGAGACACGAGAAGGAGGTAGTCTTTGTATGTTGGTAAAGAAGGCTCTTTAAGGTAATGAAAATATTGCTATTTGCATAAAAAGGAGTTGAAAGGAATATTTAAGAAACTGATTAACATTGGTTTATTTCAGGATGAAGGTGGGTTGCTGGGGCATATGATGAGAGATTTTACATTATATTTTGTACTCTGTTATCTTGCCTATTGAAAGAAATAAAATTTTTATTTCAGAAGCATGTTGAAGAGAATAGGTCCTATAAACTAGCACTGTCTTGGTTGAGTCAGGCCATTCAGTAAAGATGAAGAAGAAAATGCTAATTTTTCCCATTTGTTAGGTGGAAGCTTAGCTGATGCCATAAGTGAAAACTATAGAATCATGAGTTACTTCACCGAAGCAGAGCTGAAGGATCTCCTTTTGCAAGTTGGCCGGGGCTTACGGTATATTCATTCAATGTCTTTGGTTCACATGGATATAAAGCCTAGTAAGTATTATGGATCCTCTGACCTGTGTTCTTCAGGGTTATAGAGAATAAATGATTATATTAAAACAGTAAGAACATACACATCTTAATGCTTTTTCATTTTTAGTTTTAAAAGACTTTTGACAAGTCTGTTCTGCCAAGCTGTAGAACCATAATTATAAATTAATGCTGGTGCAGCTAACCAGGGTTATTAGAGTAAAATGAGGAGTGTGAAAATTTTTTGAAAACTTAAGTGCTATATAAACGTGGTATTTCTAGCATGTAAATACCATGAAAAAACTATATTAAGAAAACAAAATGGCACATACATTATGATTATCTTGCATTAAGAACAAGATGAAAGTGAATCCTACAATAACATTAGTGTGAATTCCTATCATTTTATCAAAATAACATAATGTGTACATTGTCGTTAAATAACCTTTTTAAGTCAACTTTCTTTACCTTCCATTTCAGTAAATTTTCATCTCATCTAATAACCAGATTATATTAAAATTTTTTTCTAGTTGATCCAAGTCCTTAACAGGTGATTTGTCCAAACTAGTATTCATTTCAGGATCATGCATTACATCTAGTTAGATACATTTTTCTTTTTCAGGTTTTACTCTTTCCCTTCTTGAAAAGAAAAAAATACAGACCTTGCCTTGCAAGATTTCCTTTCTTCTGGATTTGACTGGTTGCTTTCTTGAAGCATTTAGGTTATTCCTTTCTCTCCTACATTTTCTGTGATTAGAAGTTATAACTGAAAGGTTTATGGATTTAAGTTAAACATTTGTGTAGGCTAGGTGTTTTTAAGTTGAATTTCATGAGTTTTGTTTTTAATCTATGGAAATGTATATGATTCATGGGACTTTAAGTCATTTTACACAACTTAATTTCTGTGTTATGTGAAGAGTTTATGTGAACTCATTAAAATTTTTATTTTCTAAGAGGAAAAATACTTGGACTAACGGCAGTAAGTGTGAATTAGTAAGGTTTGCCTATACTCATGTATATCTATATTAAGAATCAAACAAACATGGTAGACCCTTGTAAGTATAAAAGTTGAAAATATTAAGGCATGTGAAGCTTAAAAATTCTTAATTTACAAATATCATAAAATAAGTTGCCCTATAAATAACGCAAAACTCAAAAGGTGATCTGAGTGATAAAAAATGTATAAATTCGATATTATAAATTTGCCACTAAAACTTTTGTTAATCATGAGCTTATTTACCTGAATCTGAAGGAAAAAAGTGTGTGCAGTGGAAATGAATCACAAAGCCACACTGAGATGTAGGTGCCATGTGGTCACCTAATTCAATAGCTGTATGACTCTTTCATACCAGCCTTGTAGCGTTAGGTTAAATTTTGTGCTTTGGCAGTATCATATATTACTACATTATTGCCTTTTGTATTGTTTCTAAATAATTAAAACTGTTAAAGATTAATGTGTGGGTGACAAGAGTCTAATGCAGTGGTTTCCAAATGTTCAAGGTCCAGTGCTAGGCCAAAAAATATATTCCTAGAATATAGTCCTAGTTCCCATCTCCTGAAATTCTTATTCTCACTGGGTTTGGGGTAGGACTTATGAGAATCTATGTATTTAAAAGCTTTCTGGATGATTCTTATGTACGCCGCCTTTGTGAACTTTGGGTATACTGCTAATTGTTAGTGTGGCTTACATGAGTAATTGTTTGACAGGTAATATTTTCATATCTCGGACCTCAATCCCAAATGCTGCCTCTGAAGAAGGAGATGAAGATGATTGGGCATCCAACAAAGTTATGTTTAAAATAGGTAAGAATGGCATTTTACTACACTGATGGACAGTGACTGCATTGGGGTATGGGTGGGAACTTGATAATATGGGTAAATGTAGTAACCACATTGTTTTTTTCATGTGAAACCTTCATAAGCGTGTATATCGATAATACCTTAATAAAAAAGTAATAAAATAGGTAAGAAAAAAGTGGTAGCCAGATTATTGCTTAAATATTAAGAAAGAGGCTGTTTTAACTCTTGACTTTATTTTTTTCAATACTTACAGGTGATCTTGGGCATGTAACAAGGATCTCTAGTCCACAAGTTGAAGAGGGTGATAGCCGTTTTCTCGCAAATGAAGTTTTGCAGGAGGTAGTTTTTCTCCTTTAATAATGCTATTTGCTGTGTAACACTTGTCAATTGATAGAAGAATGTGTAAATGCAGATGTATTAAAGTTTTAAGCTAATAACTAGTAGAATGGTAATACAAAAATATAATGTCTAAATCATTAACTAGAGGTGTTTAATTTAGCAGAAGTCAGTCAAAGCAAAGATTTGTAATCAACAATGGTGGAGTTGCAGTAAAGGAGAAGTTCCATACACTAACTGGTAGAACTTTTAAAATAGCACAGCCTTTTTGGAGATCAAAGTATTAGTATCTATGAACATTTTAAAATCTCATTCCCTTTGACCCAGAATTTTCATTTCTAGGAATCTCCAACAGAAAACAAATTGAGAAATAAAAATATTATTTAGCAGTAAGGGAATGGTTAAGTAAATTATGGCCCATAGTTAATAGTACCATTTCAAAAAGCATGTGGTAAAATATTTCTTGATAAGAGTTTTGAATGAAAATTGAACAAGTACAGCAAATATACTGTATGATCCCATTGTTCTTTTTATATGTATATTTGTGTCTTATATGTATATTTGTGTCTTATATGTGTATTTGTAACTTATTGATGTCTATATGTTTTGTATTTTCATATGATGTCCCTAAGAGGAAGTTTCTGCTGAGAGTTGAATCAGATTAGCAATAAAGAGGAAGCTGTCACCATTAGCAATGTATTTGTTCCCCAATCCCAGAGTGTATATTACTTTGTAATTTTAAGAGTCTCCCCAATTTAGCTTATTCTCTGAATAGGTCCTAAACTTAAATAAATGTGGCATTGGATATTTTAATTTAGTACTCTTTCTCCCCTAAATTATCACTGAGGTGTAATCTTTATTTTGACCATTTCCATAGTCCCTTACATTTTTTTTTGTATTTTACAGAACTATAGCCATCTACCAAAAGCGGATATTTTTGCCCTGGCCCTCACAGTAGTTTGTGCTGCTGGTGCTGAACCTCTTCCCAGAAATGGAGACCAGTGGCATGAGATCAGACAGGGTAGATTACCTCGGATCCCACAAGTGCTTTCCCAGGAATTCACCGAGTTACTGAAAGTGAGCTGCTTACGAGCACTTTATTACATGGTTCAGTGTTTTATCAGATTACTTGTCTTTACCTTAATTTCACTCTCTTTTTAAGGTTATGATTCATCCAGATCCAGAGAGAAGACCTTCAGCAATGGCGCTGGTAAAGCATTCAGTATTGCTTTCTGCTTCTAGAAAAAGTGCAGAACAATTACGAATAGAACTGAATGCTGAAAAGTTCAAAAATTCACTTTTGCAGAAGTAAGTGAGGGTTTTTTTTTTTTCACATTTACACTTCCCTTAATTCTGAAATTTTAGTGAGAGATGACAAGCTTTCTGTCAGTGTAGAATACAGTGGTTTGTCATGTTGTACAGTTAAAGTTGGGGGCTTCCGCCTTAAGTTAGTATTTGTGATCTGTAAATTTGTGTTTGTTTCTAAACTATGACATCATGGACTTAAAAAATTTTAAGACTAGCATATATTTGCAAATGGTGATGATCCTCAAACCCTAACCTGCAGCCAAACCTAAATGAGCCTCCAAACTCGCAACCCTGAATTAACATTTTCTTTGAAACCTTCTGTTCTTTTTATTTTAATGAAAGGGTGAAATTAATGTTGATTGGTTAGATGATTTTCAAATTTGATCTGAATGACCTTTGACATTCTCAGAAAACTGATTGGGATGATGACCCTAATTCATTTGCTTTATTGCTATACCATTTTGATTCTAAGCTAATGAAACTGACTTGAAATATTAAAAGGCTTATTTACCACTAGCTTGATAGCCACCATAGTTCATACAAATAGAAATAGAACTTTCCTTTCACCTCTATTATGTAAAGATATTTTCATAATATGAATTAGAGTCCTCTTTGAAATTATTTTTATTAAGAACCAGAGTCATTACTAGCGTCTTTATTACTTTTGCCCAAATGTATGTGACATTTTAATTTGGAAAGCACAAAATAATTGCATAAATTTATTTGATCAGAAGCTAAAGTTTCATATTTTTCCTTTCCTCAATTGCATTTTAGAATAATAAGATGCAAAGATCCCCCAACTGATAATTTAGTTTGTATTTGGTCTCTCTTAACATCCCTTCCTAGGATTAATACAGTAGGTGAAAAGTCTTGTTTCCTATTTTTATCCACTTAGAGAACTCAAGAAAGCCCAGATGGCAAAAGCTGCAGCAGAGGAAAGAGCCCTCTTCACTGACCGGATGGCCACTAGGTCCACCACCCAGAGTAATAGAACATCTCGACTTATTGGAAAGAAAATGAACCGCTCTGTCAGCCTTACCATATACTAAACTACTCATTTCCCACCTCCCTGAAAAAACTGTGACAAGAGGAAGCTAGGTTGAAATCATTGCGAGAATCCACTTTGCTATTACTTTCTTAATTGGTGTCAGTAGTTTTACTGAAATACCTTTTAGGACTTACTTGTGAATTACAGCTGAAAGCTGTATTTTGACCAGTGCTATATTAGGCTTTCATCTAGTCTTACCAGTCTGTCTTCTGTAGGATATCAGTCACTGTGGGGTGTTACACAGCCGTCCAGGGTTAACCACTGTGGTGGTGTGCTGCTTATAGTTTGCTGTTGCATTGTAATAAAAGGTATCTTTCCCTGTAGGGACCTGTAAAAAGGACTCAAGGGCTTTATTACAAACATATTCTCCCTGGAAAAGGGAAATGCTGAGAGACTCAGTACTACTCAGCCTTCATTGTACCTGTGTGTCAATCCTATATTTTTTTTAATTGTGATTTATACTTGTATATCCAACTGGGAGCACTTTGTAGGCATTGCATGAACCATGGGATGATAATTCTGTGGAAGTATTGCCTTGTGAATTTGCTGCTATTTTAGTTTTGTCTTTGCTGTAAAATTGTAGCATTAAACAATCATTGTTAATAGCCTTTTTAAAAAAAAAAACAATTATGTGAACTATAGCTGCTCCTGATGAAAAGCAGCTGTTTGCCTTTTTTTACTTTGAACTTTGAAGCTAGTGCATTGGAGAAATGCACCTTTTTCCTCCCTTTGGAATGCTGTTTTGTAGTATAATTATTACTGGTTTTGTGATTTTTTTTCCTGATAATGACCTTCCCTCTTTTTAAAAATGTTTCCTCCCTCTGCCCAAGTTTTGTACTTGACTATATTGTTAGTCTGGTTTTAAATGTTTTGCCAGGTTTTCTCTCCAATACTTACATATATAAACCAATCTTGGTGATACTGTACATAGCTGTTTGAAATGCCAGAAAGACTTCTGACTATTCCAAGCTTTTCACAAAATACATTTTTATCTGTGGCTACAGATGTTGCAAAAAAAAAAAAAAAGAATTTGTCTATTTGTTTCCCTATTAATTTTGGTTTAAAATATGTTTGCACTTGTCTATTTGACTTGTGTTTTATTAACATTGATTGGCATATTAAAAGTCACTCTGAGCTCACCTTAAATTGTCTAAATCTTGTGATGCCTTTTTTCTACTATTTAATCTCCATTATCACTATATTATAGAATTTATAATATATATATAAAGTAGTAAAAGCAGAGGGCACATTTTTTATAAGATATGAAACATTACCTGATGAATTTTAGTCCGTATTAATTACATTTTGGGATCTAAGAAAAATTCACCCATTAACCTTGAATGTTTTTTGTCACAAATATTTAATATTTTTACATCACGTTGCATATTATGCATTTGATCTGCTTGAAGTGTATAATGTAGTTTAAAATAGCTTTAGATTTTTAAGTGAGTATAATAGATAATGACTCCTAACTTTCTGATTTGAACTGAGTCCCAGAAGAGAGTTTTAAAGTGAGGAGGGTTTGGCTTAATAAACCAGGCTGAATTTTAAAAATTAAAAAATGAGAGTATAAATTTAAGGATAAACTGCTGACTCTGTGTGACATCTTTTTTTGATGTGGATTAGAACTGGAGAATAAGCATTACCTTTGAGCAGATAAAAATGCTATCTCAAGATCCTTGTGCTTTTTGATCTTGGGTACATAATTTTAATTAGGGTCTAGTTCTTCCTGCTATAAACATTTCTAACAAGCTTGATTATTTTAGCCTTTGACCCTGTAGCATATTAAAAAGCACAATTCTGAGGTGTGAGAGGAATTGGTGTAAATAGATAAATTAGAAAAGCTGATAGGTGTGGATGACAGAAAACCTGAAAAGCTTCATAGGCTTGAGCAGGTAACTCATACATTTTAGTAGAAGAAATGTCTTCACTGAAGACTAAGCTGTAAAAAGTATGATAATTGGTGTTCATCAGGATCACTTAAGTTGTTACGGTACATTTTTCTAGTGCACTAGCTTCAAAGAAAATGTTTTTCATCAATATTTGCAGTAAATTTTTCACATTTTAAGGTTATTAGATTAAATAGGAGAAAAACTGGGTTTTCCAAGAGGGAATATCTAAGGCATCTGAAAGCTGATAGCGACAGTTGGGCTCATACTCAACACAGGATACTTGTGTTGAGTGCTTTCTGTGTGCTTATCGATCAAAGATGAATAAGAAATAGCCTTTGTGCACTAGGGACTCCAAATGAGAGGAGACTCATGTAAATAAAAAGGACAATAAAATATAAGTGCTATGTTGGAGGGATTCTGCAAAGTGGAGTGATGGCTCAAGGTATAGTTAGATGCCTTGGAAGATGCTGGTGCTGTTTTAGAGTGGATCTGGGAAATTACGTTCAGACTGATTTCAATACTATTGTAGTACTAACTTAGGAGAGATGAATTAAGAACCCTGTGGATAGAAACAAGGGAATAGGGATTTCATTAGATGGGAATACTGCACATGGAAGTCTTTGTTTTTATAACAAAATGAGAACTTGTTAGCATAATATCAAGAGGAACTACAAGTGCTAATAGTGAAGCATTGAAGAGTTTTCCAGAAAATTTAAGATGCAGAGGCCTGTTGATTGTTTGAGACAGATATTTAATATTGATAAAATGACATTTTTGGAAAGCTGACTTTATAGTAAGGAAGAAAAATTTTAAGTATTGGCTATGCAGTTGGGTAGGAGGAATCACATACTGCAGTTGACTGCAACTTGAATTTGCCTTACCTTTAACTTAGCTTGCCAAGAATCCAAGGCAGTCAGTCCCCTTCAACTAATGAACTGATGTCTTGAGCTAATCCTCAAGCTTTGATTTCCACTCTACTTCTTCAAGAGGTCAAGAAATAATGATATTTAAAAATTTGATAACAGCTGGGTTTGGGTAATGCTTTATGCTGTCTCCTAATTCTTAAGCAGCAGCATCCTAACATTAGAGTTGTTTTTCTTCCTCTCAGTTCATCTCCACAAAGCATCTCACCGATTTTAGCCAACAGATCAAATAAGTTGTTGCATCTTCAAGGTATTTTTATTTGTGAAAATTTTAAAGGCCAGTTAGAGCAATTAACAAGGAGGATGGATCAAAAAAGAATTTGGAAGTGTTTTGGATATTGGGAAACTCCTAAGTGAAGCCTGGAACTAGGAATTCGGAGGAAACTGGCTCATTCAGTATTTTGAAGGTGTTTGTGTAACTAAAAAGCATCACTGAAACGGACATTGCAGAGTGTGAGCGGATCTAGAAGTCTGCCAATCTTGTATTGTTAGAGACTTCTCAGAAGCTCAGCAAAGTAGATTTTTATAAAAATGGAAGAGTAAAACATTATTGAAACTCTTCCCCAACATTTAGCTTTTAAAAACTTTGAGAGGCATTCATCTGAATGTCATTGACCTTTTTCTGTGTGTGGCAGATGACCCTAATTTTCAATGCAGTTCAAAGGTTTCTGGAGTAAGGAAAAATATCTATGTATGCTCTAGGAACATTTACCAGGAGAAGATGGCATGTTCTGTCCAAACTTCATTAAACTAGGAGTCTTAAGAAAAACTCGGCCAGTCCAGCCCATGAAGAAAAATACCTCAAAGGAACATTTATATCATAGTTCATATTGTTTAGTTGTATATGGTTAATAAATGTTTTGAAGAGCATATTTTGACATATTTTGAGTTTTGACATTCTTATGGTATGAAATGGGTTTTTAGGCCTGGAATTCAATTTGTGTCGTCAGTGCATTGATGGGAAATACAGGTTCAGTGTACAGTGACTCCATTTAGTCCCCTTTTAGCAGATGAGCCTATGGAGGCTTAGGTGAGTTACACAACTTAGGAATTCATTTTGGTAAGTAAGAGAGCCAGAATTCCAACTCAGATTTCACAGCAAAGAATCATGCTTTTTCCAGATATATGGAAGTTGAGGACAAATACTAATTTACCACAGAGTGCAGGCAGCAAAGGAGAATCAGAAGGAGCAGTTCGAGAATTAGGAAAATGCTCAGAGACCAAGAGAAGTTTGAAGGAGAAATTGATCTAACAGTGGCTACATGCAAAAAAAACTAGGTGACTCAAAGCTCCATGAAAGCATCTAAAGATGGTAAGGAGATTGTTGGTAAGCAGTGTCAATAGAGGGGGAACATAAGCCAGATTAAAATGAATTGGGGTATAAATGGGAGATGAGCAAAGTAGAAGTCATTTTTAAAGAATACGACTGAAAGAAGGGCAAGGGAGAAGACTAGAGGGAAATCTGTATTTTGTTTTTGTTATCACTGATCACCTAGTATGTGTTAAGTGTTTTGTTTTTTGTTTTTTGGTATCATTAATCTACAATTACATGAGGAATATTATGTTTACTAAACTCCCCCCATCACCAAGTCCCCCCCACATACCCCATTAGAGTCACTGTCCATCAGCGTAGTAAGATGCTGTAGAATCACTACTTGTCTTCTCTGTGTTGCACAGCCCTCCCTGTGCCCCCGCCCACATTATACATGCTAATCATAATGCCCCCTTTCTTCCCCCTGCCCCTTATCCCTCACCAGCCATCCTCCCCAGTCCCTTTCCCTTTGGTAACTGTTAGTCCATTCTTGGGTTCTGTGAGTCTGCTGCTATTTTGCTCCTTCAGTTTTTTCTTTGTTCTTATACTCCACATATGAGTGAAATGATTTGATACTTGTCTTTCTCCACGTGGCTTATTTCACTGAGCATAATACCCTCTAGCTTCATCCATGTTGTTGCAAATGGTAGGATTTGATTTCTTCTTACGGCTGAATAATATTCCATTGTGTATGTGTACCACTTCTTTATCCATTCATCTACTGATGGACACTTATGTTGCTTCCATTTCTTGGCTATTGTAAATAGTGCTGCAATAAACATAGGAGTGCATATGTCTCTTTCAAACTGGGCTGCTGCATTCTTAGGGTAAATTCCTAGGAGTGGAATTCCTGGGTCAAATGGTATTTCTATTCTGAGCATTTTGAGGAACCTCCATACTGCTTTCCACAATGGTTGAACTAATTTACATTCCCACCAGCAGTGTAGGAGGATTCCCCTTTCTCCACAAACTGGCCAACATTTGTTGTTTGTCTTTTGGATGATGGTGATCCTTACTGGTGTGAGGTGATATCTCATTGTGGTTTTAATTTGCATTTTTCTGATGACTAGCGATGTGGAGCATCTTTTCATGTGTCTGTTGGCCATCTGAATTTCTTTGGAGAACTGTCTGTTCAGCTCCTCTGCCCATTTTTTAATTGGATTATTTGCTTTTTGTTTGTTGAGGTGGGTGAGCTCTTTATATATTTTGT